TCCTTTATCAACTTCATCTCCTTTATTTCTTTCAAACTTTATGGTAGTACCATTGACCCTTTGATGGATGTTGGAAGTGGTTTATTCATCTACATATTTATTATCTTCTTTGACATCAAGTTTCTTTAAGAAATATTTATCATATTTTTCCTTTGACTTTTCTTTTATATCCTCGTTTGTAGACAACTCCTCCTTTTTCATCAAATCTAAAGTGAAACATTTTCCTTTCATGTGAACTTTGAATATTTTCAAGTTATTTGCATATTTAATCACATAAAGTTTGTGTTCAAAAGACACCTTATAATTTTTTTTTTCCAATAATTGAGCAACACTTAGAAAATTTTAATTAATATTAGAAACATATAAAAATCAAAAAATAATTTGATACCTGAGTGACTTTTAATTGCAATTTTTCCCATACCTTTTACATCCATTTGTTCTCCATTGCCAATTCTTACCTTAGGAATAAAAAATTTGCTAAGCTCTTTGAAAAGTTTTCGATTATAAGTCATGTGATTTGTACAACCACTATCTATAAGTCAACCTACGGTTTTGTTGATTGTAAAGCATGTTAATGCAATAATAAGTTCTCCTTCTACTCCATCTTCTATAACCTTCATGACTTTTTTTTTTGTTGTGATTTGCATATCTTTTTATGTGTCCTAGTTGACCACATTTACGACATTTCACATTGGGCATCCACCAACACCTATTGTGTGAGTGGTTATTTTTCTTGTAATAAGGCCAAACAAAGAAAATACGTGATTTGGTACCGTTGTTGTTGATGTGTAATAAAGTAAGGTACAAAATTTAAAAAAGATAAGGTTCAAAATTTTAAGCAATAAAGTAAGCAAACCTAAGAAAAATTCCCATTGGACATTAAGATAGTTTCCTATCTAGATGTGAAGGTTCATTTCCAAGGATTATGGAGAGAGGAGGAGATGAAATGAAACTAGAAAAGCATAAAGAGAAGGCCTAGAAAAATGACCAGCCCCTTGGATAAATAAATGGAGTGAAGAAACAAAGAAGAAAAGATGAAGAGAAGTATGGTGGTGGTGGAGAGTTGGCACGCCACTAGGGGATGAGCCACCCTAGATAAGTGGTGGTTGTTGCCACTTGAACCAAGGTTCAAGATAAGGCACTCAAAGAGATTGAACACTCTAAGAAACCTCACAAACTTGTCATAAATGTTTAACCTAATTACATGAGGGAAAACCTTCTATTTATAGGCTTTTGGGGGAGGAACCTAGATGAAATTACAAAAGGAGACATAAAATTAACCTAAGCCTAAATATTTGAGTCCCCATGGTCCAAATATGTTAAATTCGTCCTAGCCCACTAAAAATACATCTAAGGGTGTGGAGAATATGAAAAAAGAGATGAGATCCTCTATGGGTTATCCAAAGTCAATCAAACCCGTAGGCCAAGATTTTTCCTCTTCATAAAGGGATGTAGGACATGAAAAAGGAGTGTCCTACACCTTTTGGAAACCCATGCAACCATCCTATATGTCCAAGTTCTTTTTCCCCCAAAAGAGGTGGTGGTCTTCAAAAAGGAGGTGCATAAAGTGGTCCTACAAAAAAAAAATGCGAAAATGAGTCTCTAAAATTTAAGAAAAAAATGCTAAGAAAAGTCAAAGTGAAGGATGAGGAAGATTTCTCCCTTTTAGTCATGCTCTTAGTGATCCTTAAAGGGATGACCTATTTGGTCTTCGGGGCAACTAGGGACTCATCAGTATGTCAATGGAAATTACCTTCAATACAGAATATGGCCTCCTTTTTTCTTTTTTTTTTTTTTGCTATTCCATTCCCTTTATTCCCATCATAGGGTGGGGGTTTAGGTGAGTTAGAACCTCCTATAGTCATATCTATAGGAAAAAAAATTATACATAAATCATGATGTAAAAACATATATCAATTTAAGTAAAAAGACTTATTAACATTACACATAACAAATATGGATACAATATGTCTTTGTTATAAAATAAAGATTATAAGTCATTATTTTCCTAATTATGTTGAAAACTAAAGTCTTCTTCTTATTCTTCATCTGCATCATCCTCATCCTCATCTTCATCCTCATCCTCATTTTCCTATTCCTCTTCATCTTTCTCTTCATCGTTTTCTTCTTCCAACTCTTCAAGATCAACCTCAAAGTCATGTAATCCAAATATAACTTCAACTTCAATGACTTCATTACCATGTAACATTTCATCTAGTTGGTAAGTGATATCCTCTTCCACACCATCACATTCAATGCAACCTCTTGGTTTTGTTTTAATTGCAACACACCAACCACATCTATCTATTCAAAATGATGGATATGAGACATAATACACTTGTCTTACATTAGGTGCAAGGATAAATGGATCAAATGGTCATATCTTAAACCTATTCGAATTTCAACAATATTATATTTAGGATCCACTTTTGTACATCTTCTAGATGGATCAAACCATTCATAGTAAAAAATCACAACTTTTTTGGTATAACTTGAAGTATTGTATTCCAACTCTTATATTTTAATAATTATCCCATAAAAATCATCTTCACCACTTTTTGTCAAACCTTAACATAAACTCCACTATTTATCATATTTTTTTCTTTGCTCCATGCATGTGTATGAAATTTGTATCAATTCACAAAGTATATATGCCATTCTTTAACACATCTCGTGGGATGATTCGACAAATCTCTTAGGTCTTGATTTCTCACAGTACATGGTTCATTGTGGATTTACAAATTTAAGAGACATCCAATGTTACATTACTATATCTAAAATATATTTAAAATAGAATTGTAAGATTCATACTTATTCCTTGAACCATATAGGAAAATATGCATGTATCCAAGCAAAATCATGTGAGTCACTTATTTGTTCTCACTACAAAAATGAAATGGCCAAGTACACTATTTCAACGGTCAATTTGAATGTCATAGAAAGTTTGACAAAGAAATTGAAAAATAATATGATTTAAACCTACTCAAGATATGGTTTACTTCAACACAGTTGGTTAATGCATGAACATGAGAAGATTTGAATTCAGCATTAGTCAACCAGTGAGTTAACTCCCATCTTGAAGGACGACCAATTTGTCGGAAGATTGATAACATTGAAAGTTGTGTTCATGAAGTTGTTGAAATAATGAGAATAGAAGTAAGTTGTCTCATGATGCAAATAAGCTTCACAATTTGATCCTTCAACTTTGGCCTTGTTTTTCACTTATCCTTTAGAATTGCCCATGAATCTAATGAATTAAACAACAACATTATGATTGATAAGTGTAATGAGAATGACATTTAAAAGGCATGGGACAATCATTTTAGTACCTTTCAAATGGATACTACCCCCTATATTGCACGGATCCACCAAGCCAAACTTCATATGCTAAATGAATAGGGATATGTTCCATTGAATCAAAGAATCTAGGAGGAAATATTCTTTCCAACTTGTAAAGAATAATTGTAATATTTCCTTCCATTCTAGTTAGAACTTCTCTCTTCAATGTTGTAGAGCACAAATCTTAAAAAACATGACTAATTTCAATAAGAGGATATAAAACATCTATTGGTATGCACTAAATGCAATAGGAGGTAAACACTCCATGAATACATGACAATCATGGCTTTTCATGCCATGAATCCTCCCTTTTTAAACATCAACACATCTTGTTAAGTTGGAAGAATAACCATTCGGCATCCTGTTATCCAATGACAAACTATTTTTGCCTACTTAGTACTATATGTGTAGTTTTCTTTAGGCTTTAACATTTTTCCATTAGCTTGTGGCTTCAACTCCCAGTCTCTACACCTACAATACAAAGTTATATCTTTTCTTGTATTCTCAATGTCTTTTGTCTTGCCACTTACATTCATCATAGTGTTGAAAATATTATCAAAGGAATTTTTCTCTATGTGCATTACATCAAGATTGTGTTTCAACAAATTATCTTTCCAATATGAGAGATCCTAAAATTTGCTTCTTTTTGTCCAATTATGCCACTTTCCATATCCTTTTATCATTGTCACACCACATTTAGTTACTTTTGGCAAATCTTTTACTCTAGTCAATACTTTTTTAGGTGTTAGCCTAGGAGGCGATCCTTCTACTTCAACTTCCCCCTTCCAAAAAGCTTTTTAATGCTCCTTCTAAAAGGATGATCATAAGGTAAGAACTTTCGATGCGAGTCTGATATTATTTTCGCTGATGGATTCAAATTACCCGGCAAGTGTATCAATTTTCGATGCAGTAAAGAGTTATCGTCCACAGGAATTTGTCACTTAGTAATATTGTAGACAAGATATAGTTATAATCAATGATCAAAAGTATGATTTGAGACAAACAACTAAAAATAAGCGCAATATTTAGTAAAATGAAAAGTGATTATAAATAAAGTAGATTGAACTACATGTACTTGCTTCCAGCCCTATTTTCCAACTATATAATTTCTATTTTATAGTTTAACTCTCAGTATATAACTTAGGCCGATTCCTCGAAACCAAGTCCTAGGGTGTTAACCTTGAACGTGATTCCTCAACAGTTCAAACCCAACACTCTGCCTTACGAAAAGATCTTGAGATTAACGTGATTAATAAACACACTTCTATTCCTAAATAGGTTGTCTATTAAGCATTTGATCCATTTTCGGTTAATGAAAACATTTTCCAACACAATCAAAACCCTAAGATCTTAAATCGGTTGATCACTCCGAAGAAAGCATTAAGAATAGAATCAAACACAACTGTAGCAAACAAAAATCATATATATGGAGAAATGGTCTGAAAGTAGTTACATGCAATCCAACCCAAAGAGTTTTAGCCCCTCATGGAGAAACCAATTACAAAACAAGAGAAGAAGGAGAAGAAATTACAACAATAACTTATTGGATTCAAGTGGATATGCGTTCCCACGAGCTCCCACCGTCTTTTCTTCCTTTCTCCCCTATCTGACCATCTCCTCTTTTCTGTTCATTCATTTCTTAAATAGAAATCAGGTCTAAGAAGAGGAAAATTCGTTGGGCTCCGGGATGATATGCGCTGGGCGGATTGAGCCCCACGTGAACCACTACGTTCAGGAGAAATGCGCTGGGCGCAGGGTCTAGGCGCTGGGCGCATTTGGTTTTAGGCAAAATCCGTTGTGCGCATTACATAGGCGCTAAGAGGATTTGACAGTGCATACACCCTTCCTATTGCAAAAGATCAGTTGGGCGCAGCTCGTGTGCGCTGGACTGATTTTTTTCTTCCAATATTTCTCTTTCTCTTCCTTCAAATCCTGAATCAAAGAACAACTTGGGAGAATAGTTACTTGATAAAATCTTCTCATGATTTTATGCTCTTTAAGGTTAAGATTATAGCAAAAATATGCAAATGTTGTCTAATAAAGGTGAGTTTCTCAATGAAATTTATACTCAATTAGCTCCTTAACAGAGTCAAACGAACAACTTTTACGGCCATAATTTAATGTAAGAGATTTTCTATGCTCCATACAATGTGGGCAAGTCAATCTACCATGAGTCCCCCAACAAGATAACATCCCATAAACCGGAAAGTCATTAATAGTCCACATCACAGTTTCCCTCATCATAAAGTTTTGTTTCCTTGAAATATCATATGTGAGAATACCACTGCATAATTTTTGCAAATCATCGATTAAAGGCTCCAAGTAAATGTCAATAGAGGCTTTCAGATTTGATGGACCCAAAATTAGGCAAGTTAAAAACATATATGACTTTGACATGCACATTTCAGGAGGAAGATTATATGGGGTGACAATCACGGGCCAACAAGAATAACGTGAGGATCAAGCTTGGATATATGGGTTAAATCCCTCAGAACATAATCCAAGTCTAACATTGTGTGGATCAACAACGAACGAAGGATGTTTCCTATTAAAGTACTTCCATGCTTCACTATTTGATGGATGACATAACACACTAGAACTTCTGTTTTCATTGTGCCAACTAATTTGCCCAACAATTTGCATTGATGCAAATATCCTTTATAATCTTGGAATTAAAGACAAGTAAAACATGACTTTTACTAGGACTGGCTTTTTGTGACTTGTTCTAGTGTTATTGTTGTGATATCTTGGTATTTGAAAACATTTAAATTCAAGCAATGCTGCATCCTTTTTGCCATAATCATTCTCATAGAAAAGCATGCACCCATTGGCCCAATAGCCAATCCTCTTAGTGTCTAATCCCAATTTTGATACTAATCTCTTAGCATCATAAAAACTTGTGGGCAAACCATCTTTTATAGGTGTGACGTCCAACAACTTTCGTGTCATAAAGTCTAAGCACTGGTCATGAATGTTCTAATTAGACTTGCAAGGTAAAAGTCTAACACATATTGACAGTTTTGAGTCTTTCGCCCCTTTAAATAATAGTGAAATTTCACTTCACATAAATTGAAGCAAAATCCAATCTAAACATTGAATTCAACATGATGATATTAAGCTAATTTTATGTTGTAAAATCCAATCTAACATTGGACTTTCAAGCAATTAGTCTTGAATAAAAAAGGAATTAGCATGCTAAAACATATTTACATATAAAGATGAATTAAAATTATAGTTACAATTAGTAAGCTCGTAATGTGCACATATGTACAACTATGAACATGATACTAGTTTATGCATAGTATTGTACCAAACATAAATTCTTTAAGAGAGTTATTTTCCTTAAAACTATTGAATTCATAAACAAAAATTATAATTACAAGTGAAAATTGAGATTACCTAGTACATAAAATGCCTTGCTATAGCAAAATATATGATCGATGTCGTACTCGGTCAAATAATTAAAACAAATAAATGTAGTACTAGGAAGCTTTCCTAGGTCGTCTCCCAAAGACCACAAATTTCTATCAAAGCTTATCAATTTTTAAATTTAGAACAGTAAAAAAAAAGGGAAATTTTTCAAAATTAAAATATTAGATGAAATAGAACAAAAGCATATTATAAAAATGCGGATTAAAAATAGATTAAAATGGAATTGATTTCCTGATTCTAATGCAGTGTCACTTATCCTAGATTATGAAATTAATTCAAAATTAACCAACTAAGCGAAGATAAATTCCAAATTATATTCTAATTCGAAATTAATCAACTAAGCGAAGATTAATCTCAAATTAGCTTTAACCCTTGTTCCAATAGGAAATTAACCAACTAAGCGAAGATTAATCCCAAATTTTCCTTAACCCTTATTCCAACATGAAATTAACCAACTAAGCGGAGATTAACCCCAAATTATCCTTATACAATTAAGCATTGCATACATCACATAATCTCATATCTAACACAGAATTAAGCAAACTGTGATATTAGTTTCAGTTTATTAAGCATAAACAGATTATAATTCAACACTGAGATTAGAAGATGAAGAGTTAAGAGAAAAAACAAAATGAAATTGAAGAACAAAACCTCAAAGATCTACTTGCATTCTTCTCAGAAAATAAATACAAATATTTAGCTATCCATGGAAAGTTGAAAACGCAATAGAATAAACATAATTAAAATCGAAACAAGAATTTAAAAATAATGACAGAAGAGTAAACAAACTTGAATATAAATTGCAAAAGATGAAAGGTGGAAGTGTGGTGGCTGTGTAGTCCTTGTATGATATCCATCTTCTGATGTGTGATGTGCCTCTCTTATATAAATAACCCTAACCCTAATCTTTATTGAGGTTTGGGCTCAACTGGTCCATGAAACACATCATAAGTTGGCTTTAGTGCAGGTCCGTGAACTTCAAACACGTGCAGTATTTTCAATACTTATCCAAATTAAGCGATTTCGGTATCCTTTGAAAGCCTTTTGAGTTAGATTTAAAACGCCACCATTGCTAATATTTTTGGAGGTCTAATGAATTTAGGAGACTTAAATTACTGAAGCATGTCTATTGGGTCGTCCTGGTGTGCTTGACACGTGTTGGATAATTTATGTAAAATCCAATTTATCTCCGAATTGAATGATTTTGGATCCTATGGAAAGATGAATGTGTCTAATTTATAATGTTTTGAAGATAATGATTTTTGGAGATCTGTAGAAAAAATGATAAATAAAACAGTAAACCAATGTTAGTACCTGTATAGAATAAAATATGACATTTGACCCAATTTTCCAAGCCCAAAATTGCTTTAAACTGTAAAATGGCATCTAGCCCAATCTTCTAGGCCCAAAATTGCTTTAACTGTTCTAAAATTAATAATGAAAAAAAATTAGATCAAATAGATTTAAATTAATTAAAATCTAATTATTGGCCCAATGAAACCCAATTAATAAAAATTCACTAATAATAGAAAGTTAAGCCCAAAACACTAATTAAAATAAGTTCAAAAAGGGAAGAAAATACGGGAATATAATGACTCATCAAATAACCCCACACTTAGCCTTTTGCAATCCTGGGCAAAATCAAGAAGCAAAACAAGGAAATAAATTCAAAAACATTAAAGAAAATTATGCAAAGGACAAAAATAAAAATAAACACAAACAAAAACATAAACAGATATACATATTCATCAATGAAACCTGGGAAATGAAAGGAGTAGACAACATCCAACACACAAAGAGTCAGAGGAACCAGATACTCATGGAAATCATCCAAGCATTTCAAAACCTGGCAAGAGGTCAATCAGGTCAAAAGGTGAATCAAAGTGACAAAACCTCACAAGATGCACTGTATCTCTCATGTGTCTAGGCTACTGTATACTCTCAAAATACTCAAGAAAAGTAAACAACAGATAGACTTGGCAAGCCTCTAAACTCAACACCCAACGCACATGCATAAAAAGATCAAAAGGTCTTTTCAGGTTGTAATGGGGGTAGGGACAAGGTAGAGGATATCATATGGGATAAGTAGCTGTGAACCAGAGGAAATAGAGGAGCAATGGGGAATAAGTAAAAAATAAGCACAAGATGCATGCCCAAAAACCTCTAATATCAAACCTCCACTACTACCTTTACCTCAACCACAACTTTCCTTTTTTTTTATATATATCTTTTTTTTTAAAACTAAATTAAATACACTAAAAGGAAAACACAAAAACTGTACAGCAGAGATAACCAACTAGCCAGTACATCATCCAATGAAATACAAAATGCACCCCCACACTTATTCAATAACTTATTCCCAAAACAATTCCAAAGCTCCAAAAATCCTTAAGGTTAAGGTAATCATGGTTTTTCACTTAAGGCTTTTAATGAGCTTCAAAAGAAATAAAGGGAAACATAGGCTCAAAGGGGCTATCAAAGGAATTAATTCAAGGTAGGCTCATTTGGCTAGAGGCTAATCAGAACAAAAATGCCTTAATCATCTCCAAACATGCATGTGAATCAAGAAGTATCAATCAGAGTCAAGCCAAGGGTACTGCGCAAGCAATCAAGAGGCATAACACTCAAGAAAGAACAGGTAGTGGCTCAATTCCTCACAAAGGGTAAGATTGTCGTCTTCAATTCAACCTCTCAAACATCGTAATCAACTTGACAAGCAGAGAAAAACAGGGATTTCAATCCAAAAAGCATAAAGCAACTCCTATCCCAAGAGTGAAGAAAGTGCCCACTTCCTATACAAAACCTAAAAATCAAAGAAAAATATGCAAAACTGTACACAAAACATAGAATATAAGCCTACAATCCTACATCTCCCACCCCACACTTAAATTAGACATTGTCCTCAATGTAAACACAATCATATCCACTAAACAAATAGGACAAGCAAGATAAAAGAGTTGAAGGGGAAAGAAAAACTCCCTAATCATGGTGGGTCCCGGATCTATCTCCTCAGATGGTACAGGTGTTGAGGTCATCAAGTAGCAACTTTGTTCCGCTAAAACAAACAAAGTCTTCCTCATCATGGTGGTTCCTGGATCTATCTCCTCAGATGGGTGTTTCATGACATTTAGAATATTAAAGTGCACCACAATGTCATCAAATTCCAAGGATAAGGTCCCTGCATGCACATCAATCTTGGTTCTTGCAGTCTTTAAGAATGGTCTTCCAAAAATGATGGGTGCAAAACCACGTGAAAATCCCTTGTCCATATCAAGAATGTAAAAATCAGTAGGGAAAATCGAATCACCAACCCTAACTAAGATATCCTCAATGAAACCTATAGGGTGGGTAACACTCTTGTTTGCCAACTGAATAACTATATTCGTAGGTTGCAGGGGTCCAAGAGAAAGAGATTTAAATATAGACAAAGGCATGACATTAATTGA